ATCTCCACATATACACACATATACAAATGCACACACACACTCCTACACATGTTTGAATGTGCATAAACACACACACACACACACACACACACACTGCAGAAAGTTTGACACAACAGCTATGGTCACAGAAGGCCTTAGTTTTGCACTACCTAGACCTGAATGAATGTTCCTTTGGCCTCACTTAGCATTTGCCTTAGAATTCCACAGATAACAGGCTCTCCCTCAGCTCTCCCTTCCAAATTTCTTATTAGGTTTTGAATTTTTTTAGCAGATTAAAGGATTCCTGTGAAGACTTTATGCTTAAATTTTGCAGGGAAAAATTCCCTGTGTCTGTAACTATCACTGGGACAGATTAGAAATAATTTGGAGCTGAATTGGATTTGCTATTTTGTGAGCTTCTTTTATCTACCAGGACAAATAGCAGACACACTTCCCTCCCTACAAGGGCTGGGAGGAAGCCTTATTATCTGCTTCCACGGAGTGGAAACTGAGGTCATATAGGCCAAAAGGCTTAGACGTGACTAATTTCACCAATACAGCTTGAATCAATAGAGGTGTTCTGTATCCCACAATAAATTCGGAAGCACAGAAACTGTGCAGACAGTGACATCGTGGTGTGATAGAAACGGCTTATGCACAAGCCTTGGAATCAGGAGCACCTGGACTAGAATTTAACTTTTATTTAGAGGCTGCCTGACCTTGGATCTTTCCTTCACTTCGTGCAGATGAGCCATAATTTCCCCTGAATGATAGGCAACTATAGTCCTGAGAAATGGAAAGGCCCCTGGTGGGCATTAGAGCCGCTTTGCCCCATTGCTCTCTGGACTCAGCTGGCTCAGGTGCTTGCCTTCCCTGAGCTGGGAGCATTCTGGAAGGCTCAGATCCTGGGGTTGGAACTGGATGTCTAGGGCCATCCTGCCTCTGCTATGTAATTACTGGACTGATTCTGGTCAGTTACCCATTGCACCCAGGCCACCATGTCTTCATCAGAAAGACAGAGATCAACATTAGCCTATCTACCTCCAAGGTCAGTGGTGAAAAAGGCACAGCTGCTAAGTGTGTAAGTACCACAAGGAACCTAGTGAGCACCTGGTTTCACTGCTGTCTACATGGCTAATTCCTCTAGGCTATCTGAATGTCTCTGGCACCATGTCATCTGCTGAGTCTCACCCTGTACTATAGCCTGGCCCAGCAGCCTTTGCAGCAGAAGCGTTCTCTCCTGATGCCTCCTGCTCAGGGGCCATCTACCCCACTGCCCTATCTCTCCCACACCCCTTCTCTGGCCACTTCACTTCATTCCACTTGGCAGAAAGAGGCCTACATTAAGACCCAACACTTGATGCAGAAACTCTAGACCTGAATTCAATCCCTGGAACTCACTGTAGAAAGGGAATGGCAGCTCTGCAAATTGTCCTCTGACTACACACATGCCATAGAGCATGCACACTCATACACACATCACAAACACATATAATAGTAAATAGCTTTACAAAAAAGTGCAAAGCCTTTAACAAGTTGCCTTGGACTTCTCCAGATGCACCAGAGCAGGCAAAAAAAGACACAAAAGAAAGAAAGAGGCATTGAGGGAGAGAAGAGAAAGGGAAAGAAAAAGAAAGTATGCTATTTGTTTAACTTAAATCCTTTTGTGGGTCCTTTGATACAGTGCAAATGTGTGTAAGAGTGTCAGGAAAGATTGAGTTCTTGTGTTAAAGCCAGGATCTCTGTGTGGTGCTGCTGGAATATCACAGGGATTCTGAAGAGTCCAGGTCAAGCCTCTCCCTGTGAAGTATGAGTGTCGCTGGCCAGTGGAAGCTATTCTCTATTTAAAGGTGTCAGAGAATGTATTGGAAGTAAATGCCAGACTTTGTTAAATGCTGCTAAGTCCCTGAATGAAGTTGTTTACTTAATTTTCCTTTTCTAGCTTATGAAGATGGAGAGTTGCAACTGTGGGTTTTCTGATGTTAAACCAACCTTGTCATCCACAGATGAGCCCTGCTCGGCTGATACCGTATTTCCTATTAGGAAGCAAAGGCTAAACTCCTGCTTTAGACTTATTAAAGCTAGGATTGGAGGTGGGGACAGTCTGCAGTAATGCTGTTTTGCTGTGGTGGTTTGAAAGAAAATGGTCCCCATAGGCTCATAGGAAGTGGCACTATTAGGAGGTGTGGCCTTGTTGGAGAAAGTGTGTCACTGGGGGTAGACTTTGTAGTCTCAGATGCTCAAGCCATTGAGGCACTCTCTTCCTACTACCTGCCAATCAGGACGTAGAACTCTCAGCTACCTCTCCAGTGCCATGTCTGCCTCCACACCATCATTCTTCCTGCCAGGACAATAATGGAATAAACCTCCAAAATGTAAGCCAGCCCCAGTTAAATGTTTTTCTTTATAATAGTTGCTATGGTCGTGGTGTCTCATCACAGCAATAAAATCCTTTGCTTTTTATGTTTTTTTCCTCCAGAATCTGGTTGTCTTATTCCTTCTCCTATTATTATGATTGTATCATCATCATCATCATCATCATCACTGTTTGTGTTAGCTGGGGGAGCACACATGCCACAGGGTACACATGAAGGTCAGTTTTCACCTTCTACCTTGATGTGGATTCCAGGTATTGAACCCTGGTTCTTAGGACGCATGGCAGGCATCTTTACCCCTGAGAGCCTCCCGGCCTTATTCCTCCTTTCACAGTTTCTTATTTCTCCTTAAGGAGTTTTCTCTGTGGAAAGAGAACTTTAGCAAGAACTTCCTTCCTTTGAGCTACCCTGTTTACCTATCTCATCCTTTGCATAAAGCTGTTCATAATGTACTTCCCTTATCCTCATCTCAGCAAAGCCTGTGCAGAAGCTCCCTGTCTCGGTCCTGATACTGGTAATTTACATAATTACTTTTTAATCAATGTGGCTGGAAGTCGATAGATTTCAATGACTTTCTCTATGAACAACCTTCTGGTTAGTTTGTCTATCTTAGGAATTTTTGTTTGTTTCTTAGTTCATTGATTTCTGCTTGGTTTTTTTTTTTTTTTTTAATATTTCCTTTCTGCTTGCTTTGGGTTTAATTTTCCAACTCTTTCCCTAAGTTCCTAAAGATCAAGACCAAGGCTCCCGTGGATATATCTGTGGCTCCTGTGCCTGCCAGCTGCAGCCTCTAGAGACATGATGTTTACAAGGAGGGCAAGTGCCTTCCAAAGCCAATGTACAAAGGACCAAAAGCTCACCTCCCTGACAAGCTTTTGGCTTCATCAAGATTTCCGAATTTCTTCCACCAAGCTACAGGTATGAAGAGGAAAGGAGGCCTGTTTTAGTACCAGAAGGCAGAGCATAGGAAGGGCTATAGTGGTGTACACCAGGCCTCTGACTCTTCTATAGATGCTCTGCCATGCCCCATTTCTCTGTCTGGTCCAGCTATGTTTGAGGGAAGGCTGGCACAATCCAACTTGGGTCCCCTCTCAGAGTGCTTTCATCAGAACCCTTGTCACATTTTGGTCATACTGAACCATAGCAGATCACATGTGATTCAAAGGGTAGCTACTAGCCCCAGTGATAGAAAAGGAAGGCTAGACAATAAAAGCCAGCACCAATCTGAGCCAAGAGTAGATACCAGGTAACTCAGGCATGGCAAAACCCACAGGTCTGCTTCCTCTAGAGTGGCTCCTGGACTAGCAGCTGCCACCCAGTCTCATTTGCCCTGATCTCCTTTTTCTTTAGCTACAAAAATGAAGTGTCAGAGTCTTACTCGTTCCCCTGCCTCCCAGCAAGCCCACAATGGAAACATCATTATTCCAGTTTTTTCAGATGGGACTTTGAAGCCAGGCCTGGCTTCCATAATTAGTGTGCTAGAGATATACTTCCAGGGCCTCGGGCATGCTGGCTAAGCGCTCTGCCACTGAGTTGCAGCCTTGACCCTAGAAACACTGTCGCTGATGTCTATCCAACAAACACAGCATCTATTTTCAGGCATCAAGCCCTTCCACTATAAACAGATAAACAGTCCTGAGCGTGAACATAGTTCCTGCCAGCCATCTGTATCCTTTAGAGAAACCTGGGGAAACATGAGGTACCTGGTCCAAGAAAGTGCTTGGCAGCCCCATCAGCCATGACAATACAGGTTGATGATTTTACAGGCTTCACACACTTCCAATTAGATTACATCATTCCTGCTTCAGGGATGCTCAGATGCTCCACAGGCAGGCCTCAAGCCACTGGCTTCCCCATTCCTCAGAGGAGCCCACTTCTCCACAGAACACAGACACCCTTCCACCCTGTACCAAGGTTAGTCAGGACAGCTCACAGTGCAGTTCTTCCCACCCCGCCTGGGCATTCAGGACAAGCTCTTCTGGCAGCCCCATCAGCCAATTCCCACTCACATTTTAGCATGAGGGTAGCAAGCAGCACGCCCACAGGGTGGCCATAAGTATACTCACTTAAACAGTGACTCTGCACCCCAGTCACAGCTCAGAGCCCTACAGCCCACTGTGCACTTTGCCTCTGGTAGAGTCTAAACTGGCATCTGGACTCCTAGTCACACCCTCCATATAAGCAGCAAGCTCTGTTCCTGCTGGCCCTCATGTCCTGAACACCCTGGCTTTGTACAGAGAGCTCCAGTAACTGTGGGCTTACAGACCAGCATCTGCAAGAGTTGCCAAACGATTAAGAAAAATGCTATGGGGTGAATATCCAAACTGAGAAGAATTGGGCAATGAACATATTCCTCAAAGGAAAGGGACAAGGGAAAATTGTCTCCTCTCACTGTCCTCACTAGCATGCCTGATTCCCCAATCTCTATGTCACAGTAAAACAAGAGCTTGCATCACCAAAGTACAAGACACACAAGCAGCCTGGGAACTGCTTTCTAGAAATTCCACAAGACATAAAACATGAGAAACCATTTCCAACCACACACCGCCATTTCCTTCAGAAAAGTACTTGAAATGTTGAGGTGAGAAAGGCTCTGGCAGTGACCAAGAGAGGCCCAGCAGCCTGGGCCTCCACCAGTGGACTAACCTTGAGGTGGCCAAGGTCCCCCGACTTGCTGCCCTCAGAAGCGTTTGTGGGTCGGCTTTCTACTCGGGTTCTGACGACCTGGCGGAAAGGACTGGACAGGGGAAAGCCGCTCACACTGACTCCATCTAGGAAGGAAGACAGAATCCCAAGTAAAATGCAACAGTCTGTTTTATGAGGCAGGCTTTATTTTGTTTTTCCAAACAGTGGCAGTCTCTACTCCCTAGTCTAAATTACAAAGTGGGAGTGTCTTCCCTAGGCTTTCATTCACACTACCAACAACACCCCTCAGCAGGTAGTCCTTTCTGGGAAGCAGGTATGGGGAAAGTGGGCTTTCATGGTAACCAGATGACCCAGAAGTTCCAGTGGAGGGGGGGGTCTCAAGGAATGACATGCCCAGTAAACGACAGACCAAAGGCAAAGCTGCTCTCCCAGGCATTGGAGACCAGCTGCCAATCACACCAACCACTATAAAGGGACTAGAAGATTCTACCAAAAGACATTGCTTGTCATGCAAAACTGCCAATCAGACCAGCCACTATAAAGGGACTAGAAGATTCTACCAAAAGACATTGCTTGTCATGCTCCATCCTGGCCCCAGCTTTTCACTCTAGTGACAACCATCATTGGATGTCCCAATATCCCCAAATCTGTGCCTCAGATCAGACACTACCCCTTCCCTTCCACAGTGCCTCCCCTGAGTACACTAACTGAAACCAATCCTTCCCTCTGACTCCCAGTGCCTTCTCTAGACTGAGACCTGTGCCTACTGTACACTACCCTGTACCCAGGGGAGAGGCTGAGCACTGGGATCATCAAGGAATACCAGGTACTGGGAAAGAGGGAAAATACACATATGAAATGGCCTGGAGCTGGAAAACTCTGGAACACGGCTACTTACACACACACACACACACACACACAGAGAGAGAGAGAGAGAGAGAGAGAGAGAGAGGGGGAGGGGGAGAGAGGGGGAGAGAGGAGTGGAATTTGCCTAGAAACCTCAAAAATCAATAATCTTAAATCTCATGACCCCTTCACAAGCAGAAGAGTTGTGATCTCTAATCCAGTGGAAGCATTGCACATGGGCAAGGTGTTTCCAGCTCTGGTTGGGGCAGAAGCTTGATCAAAAGCAAAGCTGGAGAGGAGACAGGGCAGCTGCTGAAGTGAAAGAGACAAGCCAGGAAAAGATGTCACAGAGCACACACTGAGAAGGAACTCCCTCCAGTGTGGGAGAGGAAGAAGGAAGGATATCCATTTTCTAATGATATTCAGTCATCCCGCCTGTGTTTATGCCAACACAGGCAATTCCAAATAAAATGCAGAACGGATTTGTCTGACAGTTACTAGGAAGACAAGACCGAAAAGTCACAAACAGATGAAGGCAGCCTACTAGGACTAATGAGTTTAGGATGGAGGGCATTCAAGAATGGTTTGAATCATGAATAAAAGTAAGCTGTGGTGAGAAATTCACAGCAATAGTTTATGGTGCTCAATCTTTCCATTAGGGGAATCTCTGTGGGAAATTCAGTATGTAATTCTGCATGCCGAAATAATGCTTCTCTTGAATTCAACTACAATATCACATTCATCAAGACAACTGGGAAATGACAGCAGAAAGCAGGTGCTAACATGTGGCAGCTGCACTGGCCATATCAACAGAGCCAGCCTGCAAAGATTACAGCATACCCCAGAACTGACAAGGTATGTGGCTGGCTGGCCTGCAAGTTGGGGAACTGGGAAGGGAAGGACAGCCATTGACATAAGTGAACAACATCTGATCTGCTGAACACTGGGTTGCACAGAACCTTCTTGGAGACATTCTCCTGTATTTCTCCCATCCTTGACTCCACAACTCAAGGCTTTCCAAGCTTTGGACTCCAGAATTTATACCAATGTCCTCCAAGGTTCCACCTCAGAGTGATCCATGTTCCCAGAGTGTCTAGCTTGTAGGCAGCCTATTGCAAGACTTCCTGCCCTCTACAGGCACACAAGCCAGATCCTCTCTTGAGCTCCCTTTTGTTCATTCATGAACATTACCATGTACCCAGCAACAGCCCCATTTCTCTGATGAACCCCATCAGATCTGATCATGGATCATGGTGTCCCTGAACTAGCAATGGTGCATGGAACATTGTTGTACAGATTCTACACATGAGAAAGCCAAGGTCCCAAAGAGGTAAGAGACTTCTTCAGTGTTACACAGCCCATCAACATATAGCTAAAACCAAAACTCAGACCAACCAACCACACCGAGACCAAAAAAAAAAAAAAAAAAAAAAAAAAAAACTGAGCTCACCATCCCAGGCTGCTCTGTAGCACCCCAGGGGATCCAAGCTATACACCACCAAGCCCCTACCAAATCTATGGTAAAGACCCCCAAATGGCTTAGCAACCAACACCAGTGATGGTATGCTTTTTTATGCTTCCAGAAAGAGGGCAGGAGGGAATAAATGAATAAGGCTGAAAGAGGCACCTAAAATAAACTTGAATAAAATGTAACTAAAATAAAATACACTTGTAAAGGTAAAGGAAGGCAATGGGTCTCTCGTGGGAGTCTGTTAGTGTAAGCTGTTCCAGGTAGAATATATTTCAAAGATGCTTTCTCATGTATTCATAAAATCCATGGATGCCAAAAAAGTCCATCTGGTTATCATAAAATATGCTCAAGAAAATCAAAGCAGTAGAAGTAGTTGGCTAAGAAAATGAGCCAACACTCTTCATTTCCATAGAGGAAGCAGCATGCTCATTCATTCAGAAACTGCAATGTGTTTAGAAAAATAAAAATAGCCTACAGTGACAGTGGACTTCCAGTGGCTCTCCCTCTATTGAGTGTACCCAGCGATCATACCAGACCTAAAGCCTTCTGCCTTATTCATACATCTGGAGGCCTCCCAATGTTCGTATGAACACATGTGCTTCAGAGTCCCCAGACTGCCCTACAGTTGTAGCTTTGAGTGCAGGAGCTACTGATATGGATGAGTGAGTGGCCATCTTTCCACAGCACAGAGGGAATGAGTTAGTTCCAGGCTTCCAACCCAAGAATATTTTTAACCCCCTACTAAGTCACTTCATAGAATAAGATGTCAATCAGAAGTGATGGCTTCCTTGATAGTAGAACGGAACTAAGAGAAGGAAGGTAACTGCAATTGTCCCGGGGTGAGGCATGCACAATTCTCGGGAGGGCGCTAGTGCAGAGCTGTAGATGTGGCCAGTAGTGAGCTTGCCCTTCCCCCTTCTTCTGTGTACTGTCCCTGCACAGGCCTGTGTTTGCAGCATGGGGTTCAGCAGAGGCACTAGTGGCCTCTGGTTCCCATGGGTTCCTCATGCCACCCTGCTGAGGAATGGACTGGAGACAGGCTGCTGTGGGTAGTGGCATCAGAACAATCTTTATCCAGATTCCAGGGCTGTATGGAAATCACATTTCGTTGTGTACTGCTTCACAACTGAAGGCTGTAGCTTTGGAGTTAGCCACTGTGGCCTAGGGACTGCTTTTATTTGTGGGCCACTGCTCTGCAATCTGCTATATTCTCTTTCATAACCTGCCCACTCCTCTGATGCTGTCCCCTGACATCACAATAGTTGTTCAACATCTCTGCCCTGGTCTGCTATTCCCTTTTGAAAATAAATATGGATTTTTGGAGTTCTCAGTCTTATTTTTTAAAGAACAATGACTCATCCCTAAGTACCCAGAAGCTGGAGACAGCATTCCTGTGGTCTTAATACACAAGTATTTCTTTCTGTCTTTGCAATTCCTAGATACCTGGGCTTTTCCACAAGCATGTTTTGTTGTTGTTATTGTTGTTTGTTTGTTTGTTTTTTTCTTTTTTTAAAGAAGAAAACCTGAGATTTTGCTGAAACTTGGGCTTTTCAATAAGTCAGAGAGCATGAGGACAGAGTGAATAAATACTTATCAGTGCCCAGCATACTTGCCAGGCATGCAATTCAGGCATTTTCTGCCCGTTCTAACAGGGTCTTCACGTGTGGTCAGGACAGATCACACTTGTCATACTGAACATCCCTGTGCCAGCACCAGTCCTCAGGGAATCTGCCTGAATGCCCTCTGGGTCTTTCTCCCCCTGTAATCTATGCAGATAGTGAGGGCAAGTCCAGGATCTTGTCTCTGAATTCTGAATGCCTGTCTGTTGCCTACCTGGGTGTGCCTTCCTCACTCAGCACTCATCTTCTTGGGCTCCTAATAGCCATTCCTTGGTTTCACTTGGAAGAGTCCTGCTGCCTACCTTTGCCATCAGATGCAGGGATTCCCCAGGGCTCAATGGGAAGTTTTCTACCTTGTCCCAAGCTGCCTTCTACCTTCAGGGACCAGACACATCCTTACTCAGTACCTAGTCCTGTGGACTTTGGTTCTATGGGGGGACAGCTGAGTGCCCACTCCCTGCCTGGGTTTCCATGGTACCCCTATGCTGCTTCCATCCCTGTGCATTTCTCTGCCTTGCTCTATATACAACCAATGCAGGCTGCTGCCTTCTCCCCAGGCAGCTTGAATCTTTCTTGGTGCCTTCTCTTCTCTGCCCACTGAGCCCCTTGCAGAAGACCTCCAGGGATGAGAGATACTATGCCTGCAGCCACCAGCCCCTTCACAACCTGACTGGCCCATCTAGGCCTTAAGTGCTTCACTAAAGACTTTAAACTACATGTTCATTCTCTGTTGCCAACTTTTTTTCCATATTTGAGCTGAAATTGGTAATTTATACCTTAGATTTTTAATTCTGGGCTATAATTACTTTGGGGTTGTGTTGGCTATTGCATATTGCTTTTGTTTTGTATTCAGTGGGGTTGTCTGCTTTTGCTCCAAAAGAACAAAGCTAATGTGCTGGACAGCCTGCCCATGGTTATATTTAGCTGTGCCACCTACCTGCCTTCTGACTCACAGTCATTTCACAGCACTACAGCATAGCCACAGGAAAGGTCAGCCTGCCTCTGGCTCCCTGGGGTTCACAGGAGCACATCTCTGCAGATGTGGACAGCCCCACACCACCCACCACAGTTGCCCCAGAGGTCTGTTTAATAACCTGTGAAGTGCATGTACTGTTAGGTCCCCTGTTTGGCCAGTGGGTGGGATGGCTGATTTTGTTCTGTGATTTAAATTCTGGTTGGAAAATAATTT